AAGACGCTTTAATATGTTGTGTGTTTTATTAGACCGGTGACGACCGCACAGAGTAGCATTATAACAGAACTTTCAAATGTATCTAGTATGATAAAACAGCGCTGCTTTGCCCCACATACTCACGACCAGAAGGAGCGGAAGCGGTCGACTGTGGCATAATAAAAGCTCTGCTGCTTTCGAGCCGAGTGTCACGCTCGTTCAGCGGCCTCGTTTCGCTTAGACGGCTTTCAGCCTCACCCTGCTTCATTCTATTACGTTAATAAATCATAAGCTCATCCATGAACATGATTTCTGCCCGAGTCCCGTCGGATTGCATCAGCTGTGGGGATGAAGACAACAACTCCCATGATTCCACACTCTAACGAAACTACGCCTTTGCCTCTTTATTTATTTTGAATACGCGCCCTCTAGCAGCGAAAATTACATATTGTGCCTTTAAAGGCGGCTTTATTTTTCCCCTTTTTCTTGCCAGCAGCTGTTTCTTCATTGTCGTTATCATTTGTTCTTTTCTTACCTCCTTCACTAAAGAAACTTTCGAGAGATGTTTGTTTCCCACGCATGTTAATATTAGCTGAAACTTAAAGTGTGGAACCAACATTTTTCTGAAATCGTGCCCATAAATTTGGATATTGGCTCTTAAAGGGGAAACGCACAATAAATAATACAGTGGTATTGCTAGGGTTGTAATGGAATGAGATTTTCATGGTATGATAATCGTTTTAGAAAATATCACCATTTCACGGTTATCACGGTATATATTAAACAATAATTCTTATCAGTAACAATGACTCTTAAAAGAACAAGAACAAGTTATTTGAGTGAACAAATTCTTTATTAAAACAAACTTGAAACCATTTTAATGAAAGTATTGAAGTCTCCCTTCTGAAAAAATTTATAAATAAAAAAAATAAAGCTGTACACCTTATGTATATCTATATCACACTAACATTTTAATTAATGTTTTTAAATGAAAATTTACAACAACTTTTATTTTTGGCAAAGTTAAAACATGGACAAACATGATATTCCTTGAAAACAATGTTTAAATAAATTATTTTATTATAAAGAATATTATTATTGTTGTTATTATAACTTTGAAGTACATTGTGCAATGCTAATATATTTCTTTCATAATTTCAATTTAAATCGAACGTTTATTTTGACGGGTTGTAGCAGACCTTTGCGTTTCAGAGTGTATTTGACAATGGTTTTTCTCAAATAAAACTAGGAAATGTTTATTTACGTTTTCTCTCAGAGCAACTCTGCTGATGTTCATGTTTATGTATCTTAGACACTGAAAAAAACATTTATGTATGCGTACTTCAGTATGCAGTAGATAAAACAGCGCCACTCAGAGACTAGCAGTCTATAGCAGTCTCTTTGCGCTTTAATATTCACAGACACACATCATAACTACTTTCGATTTATCCATCGATCAGACTGCGCGTTTTACGTGACATCCTCGTTATACTGTAAATTCCATGTTCACAACTGCACAATTCCCTCTGCTTCATGGAAATCATACGGCCTTAAAAGGGTCATATGATGCTGCTAAAAGAACATTATTTTGCATATTTGGTGTAATTAAATGTGTTTATGTGGTTTAAAGTTAAAAAAACACATTATTTTTCACATACTGTACATTGTTTCTCCTCTATGCCCCGCCTTTTTGAAACGCGTCGATTTTTACAAAGCTCATTGGTCTGAAAAAGTGAGGTGTGCTGTGATTGGCCAGCTATTCAGTGCGTTGTGATTGGCCGAATACCTCAAGCGTGTGACGGAAATGTTATGCCCCTCACCATACTGTTGATGCCATGTCCATGTCCAACAAGTGCTACTCCACACTGCCCAAAACACGCGTTTGAATCATCAGTGGCAAATCCTTTAAATGAAAACGTACTTACGTGAGTCAGAACTGCTGGCATTTTAGTCTTAACGTTACTCTCCCAGGATCAGTAAACAGTCCTCCATAAAATGTGCTGCACACATCTGGATATTTGGGTTAAACTGTTCTGTAACAGTGTTGTAAATACAACTTAACCACTGATTTGTAGTCGTGTCCTCTTTTGGAAGACCAAACAAAGTAGTTTCACTTTCACAACGAAAAACACAGCGGCCTAGCGGCTTAGCGTGAGCTGAAGCCGGGCTAGAGTGAGCTGAGGTCCATGGTGAAAGCCGATCCGGCGATCCACAGCACTAAGTTGATGTATTCCCTCAGCGACCAGCACGGATCAGCTCTAGGCATGATGAAGCGGATATCGTCCTCTTTTAGAAGACCAAACAAAGTAGTTTCACAACGAAGCACACTGCGTCTTCAGGACATGGCGGAAAGCGGCAACAATACAACAGTGAGAATAAAAGTTACGCCTTCTTTCTTTGCGTGAATGGCGGCGTTATGCAAATCTTCCTACATAGTGAGGTAGATATGTGGGGGTGTGTTAGAACAAGCCGTTTTAGGTAGGTGTGGCTGACTCCTAAATTTTATAAAGAATATCTCTTTGGATTTGAGACTTTAGTCTTTGCAACTTTACAGATCTTCTTTATGCACCAAGAGCTTGTAACACTCCAAAGAGAAAGGAAAAATTGAAATCACATCATATGACCCCTTTAACTTATAACTTGTTATTAATGCGACATACCTTTATCTGCACGGAGGGATGGTGTCTGCGAATATGAGCGAAGATGTTGGATGTATTGCCTGCTTTTGCAGCCACTTTGCGTCCACATTTTTTGCAAATTGGATACGTCCTCAAAGAAAACCCCGCATTCTTTTTTTTTTTTTTTTTTTTTTTTTAAATATCCCCATATTATATCAATATTCCCATACTGCAGATATTAACTTTTTTTTCGGTGGGGATGGAGATTAGATATTATCTCTGTCTCTAATTTTCTCCGCTGCACGTGCGTGTAACGTTTAGCAGCCAAGTGAATGCAGAGTGAAGCAGCCGAGCGGAAATAAGATATGCAAATGTTTACGGTATGATAACCGTGCGCGTTCAAACCGTGATACCAGTATATTGTTACAACCCTAGGTATTGCATATAGCTTAGAGTCATTTTGCGTTCTTGCGGCCCGGTAGCAGCTCTTTCACTGCCTGGTACTGGGTCGCAACCCGGGGGTTGGGGACCTCTGCCATAGCGAACCAAGCTGGAACTTACTAAACACCATGTCACGGATTTGACATCATGACAGCATTACTAATGAAGGGCCAGTGTGTTTATTTTCATAGCAGCAATTATGTTTAGTGTCAGCACCATAGATATAAACACCTAGATGGCACATTAGCAACTATTTCTAATTACAGTGATACGTCTGCATGTCTGCCATATTGGAAAGGTCAAGATCTGCTTGTAATTGCAAGGAAGTGAATGTCAGACAGATGACAGGTGTGCTTTGCAACAGGCTGTAACAGTCCCTTCTTACCGATTTTCACAGGATTTGGTTTGTCATAAATGTCAGATGGTTCTGCATATTGTTGACGATGTTACATTCAGAAGGAAAGAGTATTGGTAAAGTGCTCTTCATCAATGATCTGGAACAACAGTCTGATTGCTTGAACCTTTTAATGAAATAAGGTTGTAAACCATAAATGAACCCAACAATTGAAAAACAATCAAACATATTATTTCATATATAGTAAATATGCATAAAAACAGTATCATAGTTTCCCACAGTATTTTGTGAGACTGTGGTGGGTGGACCTTAGACCCTCTAGCGTCTAGGGATAAACCAAATAATTTAATAATAATAATAAACGGCACAAAGCACAGCCCTTTAATGCTATTATGATCAATTTAAAAATATTTTCAGTTCAGGCAGGCTGGACAGATTTAGGTTACAGGTTTCCTAGAAAAACATAGATTGTTTGTAACATTGTGATTGTGATTTACTCTCCAAACCATAAACTATACTTATAGCAATATAATAGCAAGAGTGTTGATCAGCATGGTTTAAAACAACAGTTAAACTGCAAGTGTGATATTGCTTTTATACAACACTTCTGTAAACAAGATATTAATACTGTCTTATGTTTCTGCCATAGCATCAATCTTTAAATGTTGCCAAGCAACAAACAGACTGGAACAGATTACGTGAGTGGACTTGAGTAACAAAGAAAATTCCCGCTCTCCTCTCACTTGGGAGAGAAACCCTGATCTGAATTATCCTGAAGCAATAGAAAACACTGTAACTTCACACAAGTCTGAAAAAAACTTGTGAGCTAAAGTTAATACAGAGTTAAAAAATAACTCTACTTATGCTGCTCACATACTCAATATATATAAGATATATTACAAAACATAATAATACAGTCAGAAACAGACAGAGGAATGACAGATACAGTCAGAGACCGAAAAAGAGTTGACAGGTACAGTCAAATACAGATAGAGAATAATAAAAGAAAGAAAAAAAGATCTTGGGGTGTGTACTACTTACATTTCAGAAATTCCACTGAAAACCCTTCACTTTGCAAAGAAGAGTGGCAACATGTGGGTTCACTTCAAGCTGTTTCTTCTGCACCATTTGCCCTTTTGTTTTCAAACCTTTCAACTTTTTTGTTCCTCTGGATTTATTACCAACAAAGCATCTAAAGGTTCGGACAGACAACATACAATATGTAATTCACATTAGTTTTAGGGTTTGAGGCATGCAATCATGTTTTTGAAATCTGAAATATATACAGGTGCATCTCAATAAATTAGAATGTTGTGGAAAAGTTCATTTATTTCAGTAATTCAACTCAAATTGTGAAACTCGTGTATTAAATAAATTCAATGCACACAGACTGAAGTAGTTTAAGTCTTTGGTTCTTTGAATTGTGATGATTTTGGCTCACATTTAACAAAAACCCACCAATTCACTATCTCGACAAATTAGAATACTTCATAAGACCAACATTTTTAGTGATTGTTGGCCTTCTGGAAAGTATGTTAATTTACTGTACATGTACTCAATACTGGGTAGGGACTCCTTTTACTTTAATTACTGCCTCAATTCGGCATGGCATGGAGGTGATCACTTTGTGGCACTGCTGAGGTGGTATGGAAGCCCAGGTTGCTTTGATAGCGGCCTTCACGTCATCTGCATTGTTGGGTCTGGTGTCTCTCATCTTCCTCTTGACAATACCCCATAGATTCTCGATGGGGTTCAGGTCAGGCGAGTTTGCAGGCCAATCAAGCACAGTAACACCATGGTCATTGAACCAGCTTTTGGTGCTTTTGGCAGTGTGGGCAGGTGCCAAATCCTGCTGGAAAATGAAATCAGCATCT